TAGTTCTTGCCTCCACCAGCTGATCTGATGACGGCAGTTGGGAATCTACAATAGGAGGGCATTGACTGTCTGTGCCAGTTAAGTACAACCAGTTCTGATCTTTCTCCACAGAGGCTCCATCTGACTAAGACTAGCAGATTCAGGTTGGCTTCTGTGCCAATAAAACAGTTGCTTCTCTTGCTATAAATTGGCAACAATGAAATCCGTACCTATAACAAGTCTGTTTTCTCTCTAAGTAATAGTTAATTATTCTTATACTTGAAACTGAGGATTGTTTTGCATTTTATGTGGATCAATTGTGGATGATAAATTATTGTTCATGGTACAGCATGAAGTAAACCAAAGGAGATTTATTCAAATCATAGCTAAGTAATTAATAATTAATACAAATAATAAAGTAGACTGGACTTTAATGCGATGCACGAAGGAGATCAATGCTTTGCTCTGTTCCAGGTCAACTGAGCAAGAATATTTGAAAAATTCAATGACGTGTATTTAATATCTCTTAATTATTTATATAATCTAATCCCTGTTCCAGTTTTTTAGACTGTTTTATTTTGAATCAGGTTCAATTGTCTATTTCACTACTGTGCCAATAATTACACTGTACTTTCAATTTCACACAGTGATGGGTCTTAGTTTGGGTGAATTTTTTTATACGTGTCTTAGTGTACATATAAGCATATTAATCAACTCTGTTACACAGTAGCACAAAATGGTTAAGCACATAGTGCCTACTGAGACAATACTTTTCTGGTACTACATGTGCCCAATTAAGTTCCAACCATCACAATCACCCAGTTACCATTGACAAAAACAGCTGCAGCAGCTTGTTGCTCAGAATATTCACTATTGGAAGCCAGTCTCCCTTTTCAAGGAAGACACTTTGTAGATTCTACGTAGCACTAAATTCAGAGAAACAATTTTGTGGTGGTAAAGACTGAGGGGAGTGTTTTTTTTGCTAGATTCTACCATTGTTAAGCAGCAATGACTCCACTAAGAGATCAAACTAAAACATTAGAAAATCTCAACTATGCTATCTGCAGGGAACAACTAAGCAGGGTAAAGAAATCTGGTACAGCTTTCTCAAGTGTAGGAACAACATATCCAGGCTGAAGCAGAGAATATAGATAGCCAAGGGGAGCATTATAGCCCAGTGGTGGCGAACCTATGGCATGGGTGCCAGAGGCGGCACTCAGAGCCCTCTCTGTGGGCACGCACGCCGTCGCCCCAGTCCTAGGCCTTCAACTGGGTTTTATAAAACCTTTTTGCTTTAGGCCTCCACCACCGTGTGCAAAAAAAAAAAGGGGTTCAATCAATCAGTCAATTTCAACTTCTCGCTGGAAAAAAAAGATCTTGCAAAGTTGGAATTGATTGATTGAACTTTTTAGTCCCACCCAGTCTGCCGTTACCACCGCAACCATGCCCACCCAATTGGCCACACCCAGCCAATGGGCCACACCCACCCAGCACCCGATGATGCATAAGTGGGTTTTGGGTTGCAGTTTGGGCACTCGGTCTCTAAAAGGTTCGCCATCACTGTTATAGCCCAACAGAGCACAAAGATCCCCCCTTCCCCAATGTAGATGGGCTACTGTGGAAGACATGGGGATTGCAGGCAAAGTGCAGCTCCATGAAGAGTTACCAGTACCATTACGTGTAAACAATAGGCAGTAGAAAATAAGTCATATAGACTGATAGAATCTGGTGATAGCTTGTTATTTACTATACCTTACTATATCTGCAATGCCTTCCATATATTAGGCAGTCAGGGTGAAAGACAAAGCTACACTTAAGATCTGATATGAAGCAGACAGAACAGATCCATCTCTATTGTTTAAGTCAGTGGAGGGAACATGATCTAGACAGGGTGCCTTTCTGACAGCTGTTGTGGACTATTGAGCGAGAGTGGCAAAAAGACCATCACTATTAACCAGATCTGATTGCCATGGCTGGGTATTATTTGTCTATATTTATATAGGGCTATAGGGGAAATAACAAGATTGTGCTGGATACTGCAGCATCATGTTCAGACACAAGGCAGCCTTTTGACCACTAGTATGCATAGTTAGTATGTTAGGATTCTTCAGATGAAAATTGCCAGATACATGATATGAATAGAACATTAAAAATTGCTTTTGTTCACCAGAATTAAGTATCAAGGGAGACAAACATACATTATTTAAAATAGCCTCAGTTAATGCCAGGCTGGAAAATATTTGTGGGTTGATTTGGCTCTGCTGTATTTTTTTAAAAGTCTTTAGGGTAGACAAGGTCAAGAATCAGAAGCAGGAAAAATTCCAAGAATATTTTTAATGTTATAGAATAGGATGAAAACATCTTGAAAGCCCATCAAGAGTTTCTCTCTGCCTCATTTTATATCATACAAAATCAAAGCGGGATTGATTTGAAAGTAAGCATTGCGCTACAAAGCAAAGCTTTCACATTAAGGTGCTTCTGAGCAAAGAAACCAGATGGCATTTCTGCTAGCCAACTGTCATGGCTGGTCAGAGAGCCTGTTTTGGTGGGTGTCAAATGCATCTGTGAAATTTTGAGCCTTTTGAGTCCAGCCTCTGAATTTCTTAACCACTTTTTAAACTTTTGCTCAATTTATTGGTTGGAGGACCATGTACCCCTTTCGGAAGCAGATTCACTCAACTGACCAATCGACGGCTTGCCTCCAGAAGTTGTGGGTGCTACATCACTGGAGGTTTTCAAGAAGAGATTGGACAACCATTTGTCCAGAATGGTATAGGGTCTACGTCTTGAGCAGTGGGTTGGACTAGATGACCTCCAAGGTCCTTTCCAACTCTGTTATCTCTATTCAGAGTTTCTTTCTCACACAGTTTATTTTTTCACGACAGCCATATATTCTCCTTTAATATTTCAATGTTCTCTTCTTCCTTCCCAAGATGAAATCTATATTCTTTCACATTACTTCGCTTTTAACGTTACATTAAGGTTAAATCACCATTGGGTGATCTTATAAAGTAAAAATTTAAGCAAAAATTTAAGCAACATAACAGAATTTTGGGGAAGTACATCAGAGGTTAGAGATGATTTTTCTTACACAAAGGACAGGGAGCAATTAATGCAGGATTCCTTAATTACATACAATGGAATCCTATTAGCTTAAAAATGATACATTCTCTACTGCTGAATGAAATTCCAAGTGATATTTTTATTTTTTTATTATTTAAATTCTAAAAGGATCCCTGGTTAATGCATTTATGGAAATATTGATTTTGAGTTAATTTAGATTGGCTTCAATATAATCTGAAATTTCAATTTCCAGAATCTGTATTGTTTGAGTCCAAAACAAAGATTATATAGTTTGAAGCATGTACAATTTGCTTTTCTGCTATTGTATCAGAATCAATTAAGAAAATGAAAGCTAAATCTGCTTTATTTTTAGATGAGAAAATGATGTACACACTCTTCTTAGTCAATCTTTTTCCTGGAACTTGGAAACGATGAGGTTGCATGTAAAATGATACTTCTTGCCTACATCACAAGGTTGACTGCAGAGAAGAGGAAAAAAAGGCAGAAACTTCTATCACTTTATCATTTTCTACTTTATTACTTCAAATTAACAACCACAATAAAGCTCAAAAAAGTCCAATATTTACACAGGAAAAAAGTACAAAATTCCCACCCCCCAAAGTTCAATTTTTTGTTTTTTTTGTTTTTGTTTTAAAATTACAAAGTAATAAAAAGGTTTTTTTTACTTAATTAAAAAAAAAGGAGAGAGACACAGTAAGCAGGGTAAATAAATTAGGGGAAAAACCTGTGTTAAATAGAAGAATTAAAAAAAGAAAACCAAAAACGCCAAGGCCGATCCACTTCCAAACATTCCAGACTGCCCAACGTTAAAAAAAAAAAAAATCCGAGCTAACGGCTGGAGGACAGGTGATGATGGTTGTGATGCAGAACTAAAGACAGATTGTTTTCTTGAATAAAACCTAAAAAATTAAAAACCATGGGACAAAAAGGTAGAAGAAATCTTCTTACTGAGGAGGGAAAATGTGTTTGTCCTTCTAAAATTGATGGTACAAGGAGTAACCTCTGCAATCACATGGCTTCTCCTCCCACCCCCATCATTCACATACCCCTCCCTTTTCCTCAGCTCCATCCCGACTCCTGCAGGAAAAAACAAAAACAAAATAAAAATAATAAAACTAAACACATGCAAACCGGTTGAGAGAGAGAGAGAAAGAGAGAGAGAGAGAAAGACTGCCATCCCTTGCACTAGAAGCAGGGTACATTTCTACACCCTTCACATTTGTTGCTGCCTTGCACAGCAGCTATCGCTACCCACATCCACACCCTTAACACACAATTGCTGCCGTGCCAGTCCTGTTCACCTTATTGGTATGCCTATAGCATCCCACACGAATGCACACACAGGGGCAGTGGTATCCCAAAAAGAGAATGCCTGAATACAAATAACAGCCTTCCTCCACTGAATCTCCCCTGGAGGCAGTGCCAGCTTACCACTGCAGCCAAATTTGAAATGAATGTTAAACCACCTCCTGAAGCTCCGTGGAGCTGGAATTTTTAGTTTCCTGTAAACAACCTCCTCCCCACCCAAGAACTACAGAACAAAGATGTGATTAAAATTATGTTGGAAACCTTCTTTTCTTAACTAACTGGACTTTCAAAACAATATTGAATAAGGCTTCTCTTTCTGTGAATGATACATAGAGATCGAAAAGGGGAGCAGAAAGATCTGGGTGATGGCCACGGCCTGCTGGCGGGAGACGGGCAAGGACTATGGAGAGGAAGCTGCACAACAGCAGCAAAGGTGTTCTTGCAAGGCTCCTGTATGAGTGACTCGTCAAAGGCAATTTGGTTCGGGAACACAGCCGATGATCTCAGGAAAGACAAGAATGCCAGCACAGGGCAGCTCCTCTCCTTGTTGCTGGCAAAAAAAAAAAAAGGTTGGCTTTTTTTGTTTGTTTTTTCCTTTTAATTTGTTTTTGTTGTTTTGTTTTTTAAAAGAAAAATACAGTGAAGACACTAGAAAAGAAAAAGAAAAAAACAGAATTAAAAATGGTTTCTTCTCAGAAATTCAAACATTGGAGGTCTTTCTGATAAACTAGCTTAGCCCTAAATAAGTTACCACATTTTATGAAGGACTCCCCATGCCTATCAATCTTTGGAACTTTAAGGGCTAGAAACTCTATTGAAAGAAGAAAAGCAAACAGGAAAAAGAATCTCATACAGTATCTGTAAACCAAACATCAGAATTTATGCCATAATGTTTTATTTGCAAGGTGTGCAAAATTATCTCTGGAGCTTTTCATGTTTGATTATTTTGCTTTTAAGAAATATTCTACCAGTTCACAGTGGATATTTTTAAGAACCAAACTGAAACCACGGAGAGGTAAGAGAAACACAAAATTGTCTTAAGTACTGTATTTATTTTATGTATACTAGCTGTGCTTCCAGCTCCCATGATTTGATGCACAGATCTAGATCTGCTTTTTAAAGAAAAGAACATTTAATTCTAATGAATTGGCAGGCAATTAAACAATAGCAATTCTCCTTAGTCCATGGTATTTTTTCCTCAACCTCAGCAACTTTAAGATGCATGAACTTCTCCTAGCAGGCTAGTCTGGGAATTCTGGGAATTGAAGTCCACATATATTAATGATGCCGAGGTTGAGAAAAACTGACCTATGGTCATCATGCCCTCTCCCCCCAAACCCCAAGACAAATATTCACTATCATATAAATTCTTACAAACAGAAGAAATATTTTATTCTATTGAATCTATACCTGATTTTCTTTCAGGAACTTGAAGTAATAATATATTTTTCCCCCAATGACCAACCTAGTATTATAATTAGCCATAATCAAATGGAGATGTGAAACTAATAACCCTATCCCTAGTCCAGGGGTAGGCAACCTTGGCTCTTTTATGACTCGTGGACTTCAACTCCCAGAATTCCTGAGCCAGCATGGCTGGCTCAGGAATTCTGGGAGTTGAAGTCCACGAGTCATAAAAGAGCCCTACCCCTGCCCTAGTCCAACACCATAAATGCTGCACTACACATCTTTAAGAAATGTTACATAATCATTCTTTAGATTTAGCCTTTCAAGAATGCCTCTGGTGAAACAATGCCAATTCCCTGCTACTCAGGACTGAAATCTGCTGCTCCTAGCTCTCACGCTGCCAGTGGGGATCAATACTTCCGTGAAATCTTGTATGACTACACTTGCACACTTCCACGCTAATAAATTACCACGTCACACTGTCTAATGTACACTAATTGAAAGAACTGGCTGTATTATTATTATTAGGTAAGTGTAGAACATTATGTCCCTTATTGCAAGGACAGAAAAAAAAAACCAGTCAGGTTTTCTTGTCATGGAATTGGGTCATTTGGGCCTTTCAACACCCTGACTATCCCATTTCCATTTCCATTACACTGAGATTTAAGCAGAAAATATGTGGACCCTGCATGAGCCACTTTTCGCTTGATCACATAATGCTGTCATCACAGAACAGGCTGCCAAGGCAGACACTCACCTAAGCAAACACTGGTCTGGTGGAATCCACTCTTCATTTCCCCAGGTGATCAAATGGCACACTGGTCTGCAAATAAACAAAGAACTGAATAGGCTGCAGAAGAGGACCATAGGAAAGGTACAGAGGGACTGCCCTAGTTTCTTTCTCTCCTTTCTGAAGAGGTAATCCCATCACATTCCCCCTCCTGAAATGTATCCCTCTGTCTATGGAGATTCTCAGTCATCCAGGTCATGGTTGTCCCAAAGATGCTTTTCCATGAGGTAACTGGATTTTCTTGGTGTTGTTTTTTTTTTTTTGAAGATGTTTTGCTTCTCATCCAAGAAGCTTCTTCAGCTCTTCCCCACCATCCGGCCAGAGCTGAAGCAGCTTCTTGGATGAGAAGCAAAACGTCTTCAAAGAAAAACAAGAAAGTCCAGTTGCCTCCTGAAAAAGCACCTTTGGGGTAGGTCCTCATCCTGAGAAAGATTTTCATCAATGTATTAAGTGGATAACCTAGGGTGAATGCATTTTTAAAATGATATTCCCAAGATGATTTTGATATTCTTGAATCTACTGGAAAATTAATTTTCGTACTTAGGTGACAAGTATGATAAAAGCAAATCCACAAAAAATAGATTATGACGCCAATTCAGGCAGTCCT